GATTGTGGTCTAGTAGATCTAACAAGGCACCAACCGTAATCGGTCTACAACCAAAGTATGAAGAACCTGTTATGAGAGCTCAGAGGAAGAAGGAATTCATCCCTATTAGGAGTCCTGGTGAAGGAGCTCTGGCAGTGTAGTGGTTACGAATTGGGCTGCTAACCTTGGGGACAGCAGTTCAAAACTACCAGCTGTTCCATGGGAGAAAGATGAGGTTTTCTGCTCCGGTAAAGATTTACAGCCTCAGAATCGCTGTATAGGGTCGCTATGAGTCGGAATCGACTCCATGGCACAAAACCACCAGAAGGAGTCCTGGTGTGGTACAGTAAGACAAGCATTAGACTGCAAGGCTGGTTTGAACCACAAGGTCGGCGGTTCAAACTCACAAGGCACTCATCAGAACTCCTACAAAGGGTCACTATGAGTTGGAATGGACTTGATGGCACTTCACAACAACAATGGGAGAATGAGGGTTAGTTTCATAGTACTGAAACTTGGTTCTAGTGGATCCATTATCACAGTTTTAAGGAGTTTTAGTGTGGCGCTACAGGATAAACAAGTCGGTGGTTCAAACCCAACAGCAACTCCTTGGAAACCTTATATAAGATCACTATGAGTTGTAACAGACTCAATGGCACTTAACATGACAGTTCTCTTCTGAGGGTGGTGTAGGTGGTGAGTGTCTGTCTGTCTGTCTGTAGGAGGAACCATGCTGATGAAACCTAGCTAGACAATCCTTCCCACTTTGCCAAACTTAAAACTTCAAAGATAACTACTTTGTCCTCACATATTTTCTCCTTTTAAGCAAATATTTCTGTTTTTTTGATTGGGTTTCACAATAAATTATCTCATAGAGTGGCTATTCTCTCTCCTCCATGTCCTAAAATCCTATCTATCTTTCAAGGCCAAGGTCACCAGCCACTGTCTCCCTCTAACTCAAGAACTAAGAATTACAAGGTAGTAGTATCTTATTTGGAGTCCTGGTGTGGAGCTGTGGGATAATGCAGTAGCCTACAAGGTCAGTTTGAACTGAAGGGTCAAAGGCTCAAACTCACCAGCTGCTTCTTAGAAACCTATACAAGGTCTCTATGAGTTAGAACGACTCAAAAGCATGTAACAAGTAATCTTATTTAAGGAACTCTGGTAGTGTAGTGGGTTATGAGTTGGGCTGTTAACCAAAGGTCAGCAGTTTGAATCTACCAGCTGCTCTGCAGGAAAAAGATACGGTTTTCTGCTCCCGTAATGATTTGCAGCCTCAGAAACGCTATAAAGGGTCACTATGGGTCAAAACAGCAAACCACCACCACCACCAGTATCTTATTTAAAGTACCTTGGTGGCATAGTTGGCTTTGCATTGGGCTGCTTAACCTAGCAAGGTTGACAGTTCAAACTTACCAGCCACTCTGCAAAAGATGAGGCTGTCTGCTCCCTAAAGATTAAGTCTTGAAAACTCTATGGGGCAGTTCTACTCTAGCCTACTGGATTGCTAACAGCAAGGGAAGTAGAACATATATATATATATATATATATATATATATATATATTTTTTTTTTTTTTTTAAATGATAAAATTACTTTAGAAAATTATTTGAATTGACCATAATATACAGTAGATGTGGTTTTTCTGTATGCGATCTGAGAGCTGGCTTATCCTCAGTATTGGAACATGTTGTGTAGCTTCTGCTTGAGAGCCAAAGGAAGTAGCTATTATTAAATTATTAAGCTGCCGAGTCAATTCTGACACATAGCAACCTTGTATAGGGTTTTCAAGTAACAGGTGGTGAGTTTGAACTGCCGACTTTGTGGCTCGCAGTGCAGTGCTGACCCTACAGTGCCACACCAGAAGTCCAAAGGAAGTACTTATTTTTGCATGGATGTAGTTGTGGTTGTGTGATAGTGACAACTATCTGTCCGACTGATTGGACGAGATCATATTTGTGCCCATTCCAAAGAGAGGTGACCCAACGGAATGCAGAAGTCATTGGAAAATCTCTGACATCCCATGTGAGTAAAGTTTTGCTAAAGGTAATACAGAAATGGCTACAATCATACATTGACAGAGGACTTCCAGAGGTTCAATCTGGATTTAGAAGAAGCCGTGGAATGACAGATATCATTGCTGATGTCCGATGGATCTT